TATTGGTACCATTTACTACTGAAAATATCAACGAGATGTTTATTTATATTTGAAGACATATTAAAGGCTTTAACGCTTGTTTTCGACTCGCACTACTATTCATGATTCAACAAAACTTTTGGCAGGTACTGTATGAAAAAGTATGTTTAATGAACAAGAGTCGAGAGTATAATGATCATTTTTCTCCCTACCTACGATCTTGCCAGCACGCATCCAAGACATTGGAAGGGGCACATCGCTAGAGAAAGTAAATGAAGTATAGCAGTCTTACATTTTTTGTTTCTTTAAATAAAACAAAAATTATACTCTTAACAAAAAGAATCTTCTTAAAGATGACAACCCTACTGTTAGCAGCAAATATCATTAAATGTGTGCGTGTAGCTTGATTTTAACATTCTGTTTCCTTTAGGAAATAATAGTTACTTAAATACATTTGTATGCAATTAGCCAGGTAAATTAACTAAGCTTTTTGACTTTCACTTTATATTTCATGATATTGCACTTACTGTTAGTATTATGAATCAGCTTATTATCCCGACTAAGTTAGGAGTGCAACCAGTATGTCGTAAATAATGGAATCCTGTATGAGTACCTATTTATGGAGTAATGGGGTACGTGACCACATGGACACTAACAAAGAACATTCCTCAATTAATCACACATCAAACGTTACCAGTACCTATTTTGTTATTTACATCGATATTATACAATTCGAGGGTACTTGACTGTGACTGATTTTCAAGTAAAAAGTTTGGAATACATTGACGTGTGTAGATCTTTTAGAATTAAAAGTCAATAAAAGTACGAAGGTTTATTTCATATTAAAAACGTTGTGTAAAAACTATATACGTATTGGTCTTACTAACTGTCAATTAATTGCTAATTCGGTAATATCATCTTGGTTTCGATTAAAATGAGAAATGATTCGTATTGTTTGTTCGATCATTCTCAATATATCATTGGATATAATATCATTAGCATCAATTTCGATTTAATCATGAAGATAATTAAACCTACAAATCACTAATTTTAATAATCATTAAATACTTGTTCACAATCGATTAATTTTTGGTTCAGTAACCGCTTAACCGATCATGTTCAATTAGAAAAATGAAACAAACCAATTGAGGTTCTTACGATGCATAATTTTCTTGTTGATTGATGAATCAGACGTTTGTACAGTATAATGGGAATTTCTCTTTACTCTAAACTTTAAAGCCTACCGATAGAAGACAAGTAATTGTAAAAAAATAGCAAATTTTAAATCAAGATGTCTAGTTGTAACCAATAAGGACATTTTTGTTGTCTGCATGTGTGGAAACTTTAATAAGTTGATATCGTGACATCATTAATTATTTTACTTAAGTACGTGGTTTTCTCGTTTGGTTCTTAATCTAATTATCACTAGTATCACCTTAATAATTTAAGATTTTACTGTGTGGTATTTTTATTAATAAGGATGCATTTTAAAGTTTCCATTACTTATCACAAGTAAAATTAATTTTTTATAGATAAAATAAAAAACTCAACAATTTCATGATCGTTAGCATAAATATGCATATGTAAATACCTAATTTGCAAAAGTGCATTATCAGAAGAAAGCAGATGTGCTTATCACATACCTATAAGTACTATAAGTACGAGTTTCTTTATTAATTCATTCGTTTAAATAAGTATTTATTGTGTAGACCTCACCCTTTGACCCGTGACAAAGATAACTTAGGTTAATGCGAAGTAACTATATAATTTTAATTGAATCAGCCATGGACTTTATTCATGAAATATACAAGGGTACATTTATGAATATTTCAGGATTTAATGTTTTTCATAATGACAAATTATTGTTAAATTCTTAAATAAACGATTCTCCCAACTGATAGATAAATCTAGAAAAATATTAATATTAAGTAATAGTAAAAGTATTGTGATCAGTGTATATGTACGATTACTTTGTTTGTTATACGAAAAGTTTGTGTAACATTTTCATAAGTAAATTCGTGGTTGCCTACAATGAATTGCAGTTAAACGCAATTCAAACTAAATTTTCATTGTGGTCTGAGAAATATTGTCACATCTGCATGAATGCCATTGCATTAAAATAGAGATATAGGCTGCCAACCGCTGACCCGGTTTTAAATGTCGATAATGAGGTCCTTCAGTTATTTCTTTACGAAGTTAATATTTTTGGAAATGTGTACAAAGTACAAAAAAAGGTTGCTGCTATGGGCAAATCACATTAGAATAAACGCCAAAATGAAAATCTACAGAACAATAGTAAAGCCTATATTGACAGAAATTAAGAAAAAAATTAAGGCAGTAGGAATGCTTATACAAGGAGAGCAAGTAGAGTGTGCAGACTGGAACATATATCAAATCAAGAAATAAGAAGACGCGTAAAAAAGCATGTAGACTCCAAACCAGACAGAAATAAAACAACTTTATTGGTGTGGACAACAACAACTTTGTCCCTACAAATAGAAAAGAAACAGGAAGACCAGCATTAATAGAAACCATGATAGATAGAGCTGTAGATGAGGAAGAATGTAGAAATAGGCAAAGATGATGATCGAAATTTTGGTAGAGATAGAAGTTGTAGGACCTCCTTCTTGTATACATTGTGTTTTTGACATAGAATAAGATTATTAGCAAGAAAAGCAGAAGAAGTTACAACCCGAAGCCGGCCCTGGGCGTGAATTGGCAACATATAATGAAACTGTGAAAACAACTAAGCAGCTATATCAACGGAGAATGTAAAATGACGATTTTGGAACGATTAATAAAGTAAATAGCCTACTATGCTACTCCATACGTATGTAAAGTTAATATTCTCTGGTTAGGTTAGGTTATTGCAATTTTATTAATTGTAAGGTAAATTTCCAAACCACCATTGAAATATTGTCAAACTGCGCTTTCTTTTTTTAAGAGCGGTTCACCGATAGACCTATCCATTAGAAAAAAAAACAAAACAAAAAACTACTCATCTAGGCCTGGCTGTAACATGAACATTGTCAATTACACTTAATCTAGCCTAAGAAATAACAAACAATGCATGAATCAAAAATACAATACGAATGCTGTTATTACGAGCTGAATTTTCGTACTATCAAACATTCATTTAATTTTGTTGTTTTCTATTGCGCTATTGCCTCCCGCAGGATTGCAGAAACAGCTGTATATCGTACATAACGTTTTCTCAGTAGAATTTTTAAAAAGTAAACAAACATTTTACCCTGCTAAAGGCACTGAAAATATTGTAGAAAACCGGAGCATAAAAGAAATGAATATGTTTTTCTAAAAAAATGCGTCAGTGCTGTATCGTATTCTATTGGTTATTATTACAATAACGTATCCAAAATTTGAAATTCTGTTTATTTTATGTAAGGTAAAAAACTATTGTATTATGCGGAAAGTAAAATTAAAAGTACTTTAAACATCAAACAATAATATAAATAATTAATAAAATAAATTTATTTCGTGTATATACAAAGATTATACTGTGTTTTCAGGAATTTTTTCACTTGTAAAGAAATTTGGACAGAATTTATTTTTACCGTAATAAAGACCAAATAAGACTAACAAAATACATATAACAAAAACGGTTAAACTGATCGCGACAGCTTGTATTTTTCCGTAAGCCGATATGGTTACGGTTATTTTTTCGCTGGGCACCTGTTCATTCCCATCGAGAATTGCGATTACCTCGAAATGATACGTTTCTCCTTCCATTAAGCTGTCAACTGAAAAACAAGAACGGTTGAGAAACTTGTAATCGAATAACCAGTCCCGTTCTTACTCTTCATGAAAGTCTCAGTAGTTTCAGTAGATGCAATTAGGTATTCAGAAGGCCCTTGGTACCATTTCACCAAATATATAATCATATTGTCTCCTTCATTTTTTGGTGGTTCCCATGTTAATAAATACCCGTCCTCGATAGTTTTTAAATTGACATTTCGGGGAGCTCCTATTTTATTGGGGTCCGCAGAAATCGAAGCCGGTGCATTTATATTCTCTTCCAAAGTCCACACCTTCAAGGGTTTGCTAAAAATCGATTCCCCTTGAGGATCGTCACTTAACACCAGAAATTCATGTTCCACACCTTAAACAATGTCAATCGAAAATAGTGTTAATAATAATTTCAAGAATGCTTGCATTTACCAGGTGTTAGATTGTCTATAATTGCCTCGAGTATGTCTTGGGATTGTACTTCCTTTGTTCTCCATTCTTGAACGTCGACAGGTTTGTACCAAATACTGTATCTGATCCTTGGTCTTTTTCTACCAGCAACCCATTTAAGATGAACGGATGTATTGGAGGCTTTAGCGGTGAGATTGTAGGGAGCTCTGGGTGGAACGTTTTCTACCAGGAGCTCAGTTTCCGCAACCACAGTGGCAGCTTTATTCATTGCCGAACATTGGTAAACGCCACGGTCTTCTTCTTGGATTTTTAAAATTGTCAAGTTTCCTCCTTTGATGATAAAACGCCCTTCTGGTAGCTGTGACTCGTCTTTCTGGTTGTCAAAAGACATTGACTTGTAGTACTGAAAGATTTTATCTAATTACATATAAAGAATTTTACCTTGTACCAGGTGACCAAAGGTTTGAGATCTCTGTCACCGTCACTCGCTTCGCAAGGAATTTCGACAGATTCTCCAAGCCTTTTTAAATAAAGGCTCATTGGACGTATGGTAAATACCGGAGGACGCAAAATTACAACATGTATCCTAGCAGAAGGACCTTCTGTTCCTAATTCGTTATAAGGAGTACATCGGTACATTCCTGCATGGTCGTCTGTTATCTTGCTAAAGTATATGCTCCCGTTTTCTCGTGAGAAAACACCAGGAACATTGAGAGGATGAAACAATATTCCATCTTTTTCCCATTCCATTTTAATAAGAGGAGGATTTGCTACATAAAAGCAGTCTAGAGATCCAGGCATTCCGTGGGGCAAGTACACTTCCTTTGGTGTGTAGATCACTTTTGCCTTATCTACGATGAAATGAAACATGGGAACGCATAATAAATAGACGGAATTACGACTTACTGATTACATTGATGAAGGCTGAAGCTGTTTGCTTTTTACCGTACTCATTGGTCGCTTCACAAGTGTATTCGCCCAGATCACTTATCAGTACAGAGTGTATAGTCAAAGAGCCGTCCTCTCCCAAAAAAGAGCGATGAAGTATTTCATGCAGATCAGTTAGCGGTACTCCGTCTTTGTACCATGTTATTTTTGTCCCGGCTTCTCTAGGTGTGCAAGGTAGTATGACATCTTTCCATTCCATAATCGTTTGATTGTACGGCGGATTCAGTATTAAATTGCCACCTAAAGAAATGGCATCAAAAGGTAACAAATCACTAAAATTTTGGCGTAATAGTTCTTACTAGTAACTGTTAGGTGCACCCATGTGCCATTATTACGTGTTCTTGGTGTTCGATTCGGAAAATAAACTATGCAATGATACCAACCCCCATCAGATTCCTTGAGGGACGTTATATTAATGGACCCCCTTCCCATGCCTGGTACTGCATGCAGTAGCGGGCTAATACGGCCCCTTGGAGGGCCATTGACTACCAGAATCGAGTCGGATCTACTGAAGATCGCGTCTCCCTGTAAACGAAAACTATAAATTTCGGGTTTTTTGGAATCAAATGTTTTTAAACACAGCTCAAAGATTGTAAAGGCTTACTAACGTCTTTCTTCCAGACTAGGGAGTAGGGTATTTCCATGTCCTGAGGAAAGTCAACATCACAATTCAAAATTGCGTAGCCATCCATCGGCGCTAAAATTTCTTCGGCCCTCTCTTCGTCTTTGCTATTGTTGTCTTCGTAATCCACCTGATAGGAATGCACAATCAACCCGTACGATAAGACGACAATAATTACGAACCGAACGTCAGATTTTGTCATATTTATCGCGATCGCAATCAAGGTGCTGTTACCTTCTTGTCGAAGAAGTCTACAATTTAGAATTAAACAAATCAGCTTAGAAAGATTAGCTTAAAGTGGGGAGTTCTTCCGAAAATAACAACACTAAAGGCTCGTACACACGGTGACGACTCGCAATGATAAACAAATGATAAAGCGGATGGTATTTTATTACTCTCTGAGTTTATTGTAAGCTAAGTTAAAGGCTCTTGTGATTGGCTTAACCAATGATACTGCTGCTGTTTTGGTAATGTGATATTTTTAATGAAAAATACGGATATTGTTTACATGGGTGTTACATTACAAAAACAAAATAAAATTTGCAGTAAGGCGAGCTTCCATAAGTGTTATTTTTATCTTTTCTACTCATTTTCTTTTGATAAGCAGTGCTGAGGATTGTTCTGCAAAGCGATTAATAATGATCGTGTGTGATGCACAATGTCTGTCGCTGCTAGTGTAGTAAGCCCTTTAAATAAGGAAAACGTAAATTACCAATTGTGAATTGTGCCAATTACCCTAATTGAGTCCACCTACTAAACGAAGGAATACTTTTATTCACCACCGCCTACATGATAAACTAATTCCGTAACGAATGCGCACTGGTTAAGTAATCTTAGTACTTGTTATTGAAAATAAGAAGTTTGTATCGTATTTCCGACACAAAAGGAATATTATACGACTGCGTGCTAGGGAATGTGTGTGTGTGTGAGTGTGGACGCGTTAATGTTTCCAAGGATTTAAAAAAAATACGAATTAAAGCTAAACCGACTACATTGTGGAAAGTAAAAAGTGTCTCAATTGCTATTGAAAAATAAATAAAATTGCTCAATTTCGATTTTAAATTCATTTAGGTATTCGTTTAATCTATACAAATGGTCTCAGTTGGTATTTTTTTAAAACAAATTTATTAATGAAATGAAATTAGCATTAAAGATTGCTGAAGATTGTGTTTGCAATTAATTCTGTTGAAGTCATTTGAGCAGTGTAGGATTAACTAATTGATGGCTCAGGGTAATTTTTCGTTCGGAAAATAAATAAATAATAATTTTATTCTAAAGGAAGAAATACTGAAAAACTACATGAAATATATCAATATACAATCAGAACTTTGCCATGTTGGTAATTTAGGGACTGTAGGGAATCAAGTTGTTCTACGGAATCCTAACATACGTCACCCAGTATAACTTCTCTTGACAATCCTTCGTTTTTGATGCGCGCTATTACGTCGTTATTTTAATTGGAATAACCCATTTTTCCTTTTTTTTAGTAACTTATGAAGTTCAATCTTTGTTAACTTTTTGTCTTTAAAGCTAATACATTCGATATTACTAATTTATGACAAAAATTTTAGTAAAAACAATACTTATACGGATTTTACAAAAACATCAAAAGATACTACATAATTGATTTGCATCTGCTTTGAAGAGTAGAGTTTTTATAATATTTGCGTTTTTCTTTTAATTTCAAAAAATGCTTTTTTTCTTAGATTTATTCATTTTTCCAAATTTTAAGTATTTTCTTCCATTTTTTTTATAAAATTACTATTACTTTTGTGGGGATATCTTTTTAGAACACGTTCTTTATTTAATGCCATTACACTCTATGAATATGGATGAAACGTTTATGTAGCAATAAAAAGTAATTATTAATAAGTAACGTCAATTTTAGTTATTGCTATTTTTCCACGGCCTACAAAACGCAAATTTCTTAAGAAATCTCTTCTTTGAGGTGGTTATCACTAACTTGTCGACATCGTTAATAAAAAACACTTCTTTTTAACTCGTTCATACCATTAGTTTTGTTAAATAGGCAGGCACGGTGCCTTAAAAAACATTTTGAGATGCTATGTCATCCGTTTAAATCAGTACTTACACGCATTTATTCATTTTACCTTTTTGTTTAAATTTGTTCATATAGGCCAAAGTATCGAAGTAGGCTTTTATACGTCGATACATTTAAATTATCGGACATTAGACACTCAAGCTCAAAATATATAAACATGCAACCGAAACTTTAAATCGTCTGTTGCTCTTTTGATTTGTCTAACAATCTAGCGAAATAGAAATGGTGCCACCGAGTCGCCTAAACCGCATTGTATGTCATCATTCTTAATGGTATGGAATTGGCGTATTCATTAGTGCTTCTCCATTGTTATTGAGTAATATGTCGCAGTGAACAGCATTCCAGTTGAATTCAAGCTGCATGAACTCTATATGTAGTATGTTACGCACAATTGGACGAAAATGATCTATATCATACTGCGTGTTATTACCACCCCAGCGGTATGAAGTAACCCACATTCGCCCTGAGATTCGTATACTATTTATTGTCACACGTGTGCCGGAAGGTTCAAATATTCGTGTCTCTTCGGTTCGACTGACAGCTGAAACTCGGTACGAAATTATTGTCTAGTTTCGGCTCTTCGCGCGTTTTCATCCCGCTGTAAATATAGTTGTTGTATGAAAGACAAACGGTCGAATTTTCGACACAGGTATGACGATATAGTAGATTACTCTTCGTGGGCCAAATGTAGGCTGTATCATACAGCATGACGTCTGTAACTCGGGCGGTATGAAGTAATCCACATTCACCCTCAGGTACGCATGATATTTACCGTCACACGTGTGTCAAAAGTTTCAAACATTCGTGTCTCTTCAGTTTGAGTGACAGCTGCATGATAGCTGAAACTCGGAGCGAAATTGTTTTCTAGTTTCGGTCCCTTTGCGCGTTATCGTTTCGCTGTAAATGTAGTTGTTTCGGCATCGTATGAAGGACAAACGTTAGAATTTTCGACACAGGTATGACGATATAGTAGAGTCCTTACCGAGGTGGCGAATGTAAGCTATATCATAGGACGTGTCGTCTGCCACCCGAGCGGTATGAAGTAACTATTATTCACCTTGAGGTGCGTGTAATATTTATCGTCACAGGTGTACCGGAAGTTCAAACATTTGTCTCTTCGGTTCAAGTGACAGCTGCATAATAGCTGAAACTCGATGCGAAATTATTGTCTAGTTTCGGCCCTTCGCGCGTTTTTGTCCCGCTGTACAGTAGTTGTTTCCGCATAGTATGAAGGACAAACGTTCGAACTTTCGACACAGATATGACGATATAGTAGAGTCCTTACCGCGGTGGCGAATGTAAGCTATATCATACGACGCGTCGTCTGCCACCCGAGCGGTATGAAGTAATCCACATTCACCATGGGGTGCATATAATATTTATCGTCACACGTGTACCGGAAGTTAAAACATTCGTATCTCTTCGGTTCGAGTGACAGGTGCATGACAGCTGAAACTCGGTGCGAAATTGTTGTCTAGTTTCGGCCCGTTGCGCATTTGACTCGCTGTACAGTAGTTGTTTCGGCATAGTATGAAGGACAAACGTTCGAACTTTCGACACAGATATGACGATATAGTAGAATCCTTACCGAGGTGGCGAATGTAAACTATACGACGTGTCGTCTGCCACCCGAGCGGTATGAAGTAATCAACATTTATCATGGGGTGCATATAATATTTTTCGTCACACGTGTACCGGAAGTTCAAACATTCGTGTCTCTTCGGTTCGAGTGACAGGTGCATGACAGCTGAAACTCGGTGCGAAATTGTTGTCGAGTTTCGGCCTGTTGCGCATTTTTGACTCGCTGTAACAGTAGTTGTTCGGCATCGTATGAAGGACAAACGTTCGAACTTTGGACACCAATATGACGATATAGTAGAGTATGCACCGCGGGCCGAATGTAGGCAATATCATACCGGATGTCGTCTGTCACCCGGGAGGTATGAGTAATTCAAATTCACCTTCAGGAGTTCATAATACTTATCGTCACACTTGTGCGCGAAGTTTCAAATATTCGTGTCTCTTCGGTTCGAATGACAGCTGCATGACAGCTGAAACTCGGTGCGAAATTATTATGTAGTTTCGGCCCCTTTACGTGTTTTCGTCCCGCTGTAACTGTAGTTGTTTCGGCTTCGTATGAAAGACAAACGTTCGAACTTTTGACACCAATATGACGATATAGTAGAGTATGCAACCCGAGCCGAATACCGCATGTCGTCTGTCACCCGGGCGGTATGAAGTAATCTAAATTCACCTTCAGGAGCTCATAATGATTATCGTTACACGTGTGCCGGAAGTTTCAAACATTTGTGTCTCTTCGGTTCGAATGACAGCTGAAACTCGGTGCGAAATTGTTGTCTAGTTTCGGCTCGTTGCGCTTTTCGTCCCGCCGTAAATGTGGTTGTTTCGGTATGATATTTCAAAACTTGGCGTTTGCCACCCGAGCGGTATGAAGTAAGCAACATCCATCTAACAGATGAAAAATAAAACACGTCAATTATGAGATCTGGCAACATTATTGTTTTTTATTTTTTAATTGTGATGCTTTATACAGCCCAGTTACACAGTAACAATTGCTCTTCTACATAACACTTAAAACTAAAACATCTACTTCTACTAATAATTAATTGTTAGTGCTGTGAAATGATATACTGTACATGAAGTAAAACGCGTTCATGTAGGTAATGTTGTGTAATATATTTTTTTTTTCTTTAATAATGAATTAGATCGTTAAAAAAGAGCGTGCTCATCAGAAGTGCTAAATGGAACACTACTTAAATGTGAGTTTCTTCTTTCTTTTCGTACAATAGTAAAGAACGAAAGCAACGGGCTAGAAAACCTCTTGGTGAGCGTGAATTTAAAATTGTTTTAGAATTTCGTTTATAAATTACATTTGCGACATAAAATACGTCATATACCTATTACTTATATAAATAAAATTAAAGTAACTTTTGTACTGAATCAAGAAAGTAACCTATTTAATATCACTACGAAACGAGACGTCAAGAAATAACACAACTTCTTATAGGCTTTTAGACACTTGTACCACACGATATTATTCAGTCTTTTCAAATGCCTTTTTATTAGTATTTATTTAGAAAGTGGACACAGCAAATGTTCGCATGGTTCATTTTTCGGCAAAACAACCCTTGTCTTACATTATTGTTAAAAATCGGTAAAATTTATTGTGCTAAGTTATATTAAATACCGCCTTAACATAAACCTTTAAATCTACGTACTGTTACCCACTTTTTAAATAAGTTTCTCTATTTCAATAGAAATTGTATTGTACTTATTGGGCGACGTTTGCCGTAGTAAAATCGCCATTATTTTAGAGTTTATATTTACAGTAATGACAAGTCAAACTTTAATGAACGCTTCAAAAAGTTGTTATTGCTTGACGTCACCCATATCGAAATTGAGATAGGAAACAAGGTCGAGTACGTAATAATAGAAAATTAAATTAATTAACAGTTCAATAAAAAATATGGCAACGGGCACGTGTCAGCCCGAGTTTTGCTCATTGAGCAAGAAAGGTACGCTTTACATATTACTCTAAACACTTATATATTACAGTATCGCAACAGTCCGTTAATATAAACGAATTCGCAGTCCTCGAGGGGTGTGACTTAAAGCGTTAGAATATTTGTAGAGGACGAACGTTGAGGGAACATTCGGCGGTACTTGATTTGTTTAATTTTGTGTTCCCTGTAACCAACGTCCTCAAAATTCGTATTATTGTGCGAACCCATTTGTGGAGCTCAATACAAGTAAAATATAATGAGAAGTACGACAACACATGGTGGACCAAAAAACTACTATTAAATATTTACCGTATGTATATGTACACATATATATGTTTAATACATTTGCAATTTTTGTATGTTTTACCAACTTTTATTTAATTGCCAAATATTGGTTCGTTGCAAGGGGAACCGTAATTCTAACTGAATCCATCGTTCTGGTTTATTTAATAAATAATGTATTCTGGTTATATTTTTACTGGATTATTAATTTGAAATCATTTTTTCGATTTTTTATTTACCCACTACGAACAACCTCAAATTAATGAGGGAAAAATTGTTGCTGTTGTCACACCCCCACCGGGAATCGAACCCGGGACCTTTGGCTTTACGCGCCGATGTTCTACAACTAAACTACGAGAGGTGACAACAGCAACCACGACCAACCGAGTTTGTAGTGAGTAAATAAAAAATCGAAAAAATGATTTCAAATTAATATTGCATATTAATCCACTATTAATAATAACTAACAATGTCATAGGATTTCATATTCTTATTGGATATTAAAAGAAAAGTTTTAAGTATCTTTTTGGTCCATCGGCAAGAATTTGTCTAGAATCTAGCTCTAGGGATTATAAATTTTCTTACATGCTAGTACAAAGAAGTCCTTTACAATTTGGTCTGTTAATCAGTTTGAATTTGAACGTATATTTCAAACTTACAAAACGTAACACTATAAATTATAAGTACACATTGATCGTTGCGCTCATTTCCCATGTGGTTAGCAAACACTCTCTAGTTCTTGACTTCGTTTCCTTTTGGCTTGCCGTTTTCGGAATTCGTGAAATTCTTCTTTCATCGCCCGTACTCTAGCTTCAATGTTGTCATATCGATTGCTCCTCAGCGTATTATACGATTTCCGTAGTCCTACAGCGTCTAAATCGGTGTCTCGTCGTTCAGTTGGGGTTGATGGCGTTGGTGTTGGAGTGGATGGATCAAATTCGTAGTGTCCATCCACACTTCCAACGTCCACGGCTTTGTGGGTTTGTTCTGATGTCGAAGGAGACGATGAAGCCATTTCTAACCAGTGACCGACCGAGGGTGGTGGCGGCGGAAGGGCTGACGACGACGGCGGAGGAGGTGGTCTGTAGGGTGGCAAACGCCAATCAGTAAAGGTACTTCCACTTTGCGAACTCTGATTTTGTTGAGACGTATTTTTACTTCCAAACCCGCTGGAACTGGAACGACTCTCCGGGGATCTGTCGGGGTGATCGGGAGATCCAAGTTCGGGCGCGCTTCTAGCGATTCGTGCATGTCTGGGTAACAGTCTTGCTCGGGGCCTAACGTTTTGCAACACAGGATAGTGTGGAGGTAGTCGAACTCGAGATACAGGACTTGGATGAATCGGATGCACCGGTATAAACGTCGATTCTTCGTGGATTGCGCGAAGCGATGGCAATTCCTGTGAATACTTTTCGTGAATCGATCTTAACTGCATAAAACCTGGTGGCGTTGGGTAAGATCTCTCGCCAGAACTGGGATATCTCACCGAACTGAGATCGCTGAAGTACATTGGTGACCACGGTGACAAAAGCAATGCGTTAGAATCCGCGGGACTACTAGATTGGAACAGAGGTGTCGTAGGACTGTAAATGGTTGGAACAGGCCGTACAGGATACAGGTAGTGGGCACCGATTGCGGGCCCAGGGACGTTCGGAAGAGTTACCCTTGCACTTTGACCAGAAGCGTCAGTGCGAAGACTCAGTTCGCTGGGATAACCGACCAAAGGTCTTCTCCATGATGCACGATTTCGCACACCTCTTCTGGTCAAAAAACCTCCGTCGTCGCTGCTACTGCCATTGGAAGGGGTGCCGGCGCGGGAACTATATGAAGAATCTGCAAGATGAAAGCGTCCGTCGGCTGCACGCGAAATTTTTGCCAAGGACTTCGACGGTGATCCAGGATTAAAGTAATCGGGATGCCAACTCAGGCTGCTACCTGAACGACAACGGTCCCGAGGCCACACCCAATTGACTATGAAGGCTAGTACTGCTAAACCTGGTATTCGGCCTTTTCTAAGTCTGTGAAAGGATAAATATGTCATTTGATGATTTCATATGGCAGCACGTTTGCTTTGTTATATGACATGCATTACATTTCATGCCTTTGTAATTTAGTCGCTTTCAGTTTTACAGACCTCGTATTTCAGGGCTTTTGAGATTGCTGTCATAATTTAGATGTTGTAACTCATATAATTTTGATAAACGAAACTATGCAGACTAAACATTCTTCAGTTGCTTTTGCAAAGGATCTAACCGGTTAACTATATGAAAAGTGCCCCCAAATCGTTTCTATGTTTTTAACTTGTAAATTATGTATTGTACTTTGACGGAAGCATTTCTAACCCCTCCCCTCAATAATGGCGGAAATATGGAGGGGGAGAACTCATAACAAACAAAGTAATTATCCTCAAAACTATTTGAGATATAAATCAATGGATTATTAACGGTGTGCAGTTGTTTATAACGTTTATATGATATATTTTTTTCAGATTTTTATCTCATTATTAAGTGGTAGAAAAAAAGAAGTTCAATTTTTAGGGGTGATTTCTAATACTTACCTTCGGAGTGACATAAACTGAAGAAAACTATTGTCTTTTCTCTAAAAGATTAGAAAAACCGCCTATAAAAATTAAACAACTTGTTTTTTACCATTTATAAATGAGATAAAAATTTGAAAAAATTATACT